CACTGGGCTCTGCCTGCTCCTAACCCAGGCACCCAAAACCCCCCCCAGGAGCAGGGTTGTGCTGCTGAGCAGCATCTGGGGCTGACTGATCTGCAGGGTGATCTCTCCTGGAGCTGTGGGCAGTATCAGACAGCTTGTCTCGCTCTAATAGAGGAGAGAGAAGGCAAGAGGCAACGTGCCTGTTATAACCTTTAATCTTCTCATACCTGCTGAGCAATCCTTGGCCTGACTGATGCAGATCACAAGTTTAAAGCTGACGAAATATTTTCCCTGTAGCAAAAAATCCAAAACACTATATTGAAAGGCATCCAAAGGATCAGCCTGGAGCTCTGCCTCAGGAGCAGTGCTTGGAGAACTGCATGTGGCCCTGAATATCAATGATGTGTGCAAGCTGGGGCCTTGGGAGTTGGTGATGAGGGGATGTCCTTGCTGTGCTATTGTAATTGGGGTGTGACTAACAGCTTTATGGCTGCTCTTGACAATCCTCCAGCTGTTTAACTTAACTCCTGCCTGTGAGCTGAGGTGGGCTCTTCTGCCTATCAGACATGCTCCCTGCCTGCCCAGAGCATCCCTGGGAGGAGATGGGCATGCAGGGGGAGACAGTTTTGCTGGGATCGGATGCCAGGATGAAGGGTTGATGCCACAACCCAGCCCCCAAGACAAACAAAGTGACAGGGAAATGGTCATGTTTATGACAAGAAGGCGGTTTTGGTTGTTGTCTGAAGGAGCTGACCTCATGTTTTCACCTGGAGAAAACATGCTTTTACTGTTAGAGGCGGAGGAACAGCCTCAGGTTCCACAGCTTGGTGCTGCTGGTTTGGCTCCCCAGGGTGGACAGGAAACCAGGCTGCCTTTGCGGGGTGGAGACCAGCTCCTGTTTGGGTTTGTCATCCACCAGTGGAAGCTGGAGAGGAGCCCAGGCTGGAGCTGCTGGGCTGGTAGAGGAGCTGAGCTCTTCTGGGCGCCTCTCTGTCAGCTTCAGGGGTCATAGCCGCTCCAGAAGTGGTTCCAGAGCATCCCACTGCCCACAGGGATGGGACAAACATGGCCCAAAGAGGAACCTCTGCACTAGACATTACTGACATAAAAGCCCCATGAATGCGTTCACCACACCCTGTGTGGGTGGGGGTGTCTAAAAATAGGGGATGAGCTGGCTTAGATGGTTTGGCTGTTGTGCCCAGGACAAGGTGTGACTGTCCAGCAGTTTCCAAAGTTCAGGATGCGGAGGAGCTGTAAATTTTATTTGTCTGCCATAAATCTGAGTGGCAAGGGGTGTGGGCTTGCTGCTGGCACTGGGTGCAGTGGAGGAAAGGGGTTTGATGGTGGCTGGCCCTCTTTGCAGGAGAGATAAAATCAAGTCCTTCTGAAAGCCCCTTGATGGAGAAGAATGTTTGTCCAAAGGAGGAGCAAGAGGAGGCCAAGATGCCCTTGGGGGATGCCAAGGGCGCGGCTGGTGATGCAGGGTCAGCCACCCCACCCCGGGCAGTGGTGGAGGAGAGGATGGTCTCCTTCAACCTGGGGGAGCTGGAGGAGGCCCCAGAACAGGAGAGGCTTCCCAGCCTCGACCTGAAGGAAACCAGCATCGACAGTGGTGAGTAGCAGGGGGTGATTTGGGTCGTAAGACTTCCCCAACCCCAGGCAGCCCTTGGTGCTGACCCCTACACCCGCTGTCCCTGCTGGCAGGAGCTGTGCGGCTGCCCAATGGCAACCTGGTCCACCTGAGCCAGGCAGTGGGCCACCAGCTGGGCTCAGGTGGGCAGTACCAGTACCACACCGTGCATAAGGACTCCGGCCTCTACAAGGAGCTGCTGCACAAGCTGCACCTAGCCAAGATGGGGGACTGCATGGGGGACTCGGGGGACAAGCCCCTGCGGCGCAATAACAGCTATACCTCCTACACCATGGCCATCTGTGGCATGCCTCTGGACTCTCTGCGTGCCAGGGACAGCGAGGAGGGGGAGAAGCTCAGCTGGTCTGTGGTGGACACTAAGAAGAGGGTCCGCATGGACAGCTACACGAGCTACTGCAACGCAGTGGCAGATGCACACGCGGCTGCAGACGTGGACCTGAACACAGCCCAGGCAGAGCTGGGTGCCAGCGACCGCAAGGGCAGCAGTAGCTCCCTGGAAGAGTGGCATGAGCAGGACAAGCCAGAGGTGGCTCTACTCTTCCAGTTCTTGCAGATCCTCACAGCCTGTTTTGGCTCCTTCGCTCATGGTGGCAATGATGTCAGGTTAGTGGAGTTAGTGGGAGCCAGGGAGGCTGCTACCTGGGGCTAGCGCTCACAGAATCATGGAATCGCCAAATAGTTTTGGGTGGAGGGAACCTTAAATCTTGTTCCAACTCCCTGCCTGGTCATGTTCCTCTTGACCAGGTTGCTCCGTGTGCCATCCAACCTGGCCTTGCATACTTCCAGGGATGTTCTATCTTGCTAAGAGCCTCTGGCCCTCTAGACCAGATCCTCTTTCTCTTCCAGCAATGCCATTGGGCCCCTGGTTGCACTCTTCTTGGTTTATCAGACGGGCGATGTGGCTACCAGGGCGGCAACTCCCATCTGGCTGCTTCTCTATGGGAGTGCAGGGATTTGCATTGGCTTGTGGATCTGGGGAAGGAGAGTCATCCAGACGATGGGGAAGGACCTGACTCCCATCACACCATCCAGGTAAGGGCTACTGTGGAGCAGAGAAGAGGTTCCATGCAGCCTGAGAGCTGCATTCTGCTCCAGGAGCCCCTCTCCATTCTCTCTTGGGGGTTTCAGTGGTGGACCTGGGGTTGCATGGCTCCAACACCTCGCTGCATCCTGGGGGGTTCATCTGGGGGTGTGGAGAGCCAAGCTGCTGCCTTGAGCTGAGCCCCCGGGTGCTTTGGGGTATGCAGTGCCCCTATTCTGATCTGTTTTCTGTCCCTGCAGTGGCTTCAGCATTGAGCTGGCATCAGCACTGACAGTGGTCATTGCCTCCAATGTCGGCCTCCCAATCAGCACAACCCACTGCAAGGTAGGAGGGGTAGCGGGGGCTGGCTTTGGCTCAGTGTGAGCACAGTGTTCCCAAATCCTGGTGCTCATAGGACTGAGCTGTGTGGGAGGCCCTGCTCTGGGCCACTGGCCACTGTCAGCTCCCAGCTCTGCTGCTTGCATCTCAATGTGAGGTGGCAGCGGCTGCCCAGCCTCAGGGTGGGTCTCTGGGGCACTCGGGAAATCATGGGAGAACAAAACCCCTTTAATGGTCCCCTAGGCTCTGCCAAGAGGCCATGGGAGCCCAAGTGCTGTGGCATCCTGGTCCTGTCACCCCTCTGGGGTGGCAACTCTTGGCCCTGCACTGCCTGCCTGTGCTCTGTGAGGTCCCCACAGGCTCGAGCAGGACCCAGGGCTCTGGCCTGAGGGATGAAGGAGCACATTTTGGAGGTGCAGATGGCTGCTCTGGTGCTGAGCTGTGCCCTGACTCCTTGTGCAGGTGGGCTCAGTTGTCTCAGTGGGCTGGCTGCGCTCCAGGAAGGCAGTGGACTGGCGCCTCTTCCGAAACATCTTCATGGCGTGGTTTGTCACTGTCCCCATCTCCGGCCTCATAAGCGCTGCCATCATGGCTGTCTTCAAGTTTGCCCTCCGGAAGGTGTGAGGGCACCAGGGCTCCCACTGCTCCTGCTTCCCACTGCTGTCCTCCCTCGAGGAGCCACTGAAGCTGCCTGCTGTGGGGTGGCGGCTGCGCCCATCTGCGCACAGTGCTGTCACTGAAGTATCTTTTTTTTTTTTTTTTTTTAATATAACTGTCTTGGCGCTAACATTATGGGGGTGCACTGCCAGGGCTGTATCTGCCCCCAGGTGACCCCCCTGGTCTGCTGTAGCTGTAGATAAGCAGTTACTGGGGGCCACTTTCTCACTTCTACCGATCCCCTGGTAGTGATTTCTTGGGGGAAGGACAGAGGTTGGTCCTTGCCTGCCCTGGAACAAAGGGCTGGGGAGTCCTCTTTTGCAGGCTGTGCAGTGTTCAGCTTTGCCTCCATTGCTGTAGTGCTGTGGACACCATCCTGCTCGGGGGTCCTGGGGGGGCTGCCCTCTGGCCCCCTGTCACTGCTGCTACCTCGGACTTAATAAAGATTTCCTTCGTACGCCGGTGCTGCCTGTGGTTCTGGGGATTTGGGATATGGTGGGGGCCCCAAATGCTGCCCCATAGCCTTCCCCTACCTTGGCCCTGGGCCCCAGGAGGGAGCTGGGCATAAAGATAAGAGCCCCACGTGCCCGCTGTATCATGGGCGGGGCTGTAAACAGCCGTGCGCCGGGGTTATCGGGGCCGTGCACCTGGGGGTGGCTCCTGCCCGCTCGGCAGCCCTATCCTCCGTGTGGGGCGATGTGTGGGTGTGTGTCCGGGCCTGTATCCGTCCCTCCGCAGCCCTGGGACACTCTGTCCTCCATGTGCTGAGGGATGCTCCCCCCGGCTGGGTCAAGGCCGGGCCCGGGGCCCCACGTCAGCGTCCCCCGGGTGTCGCAAGAGCCTCGGTGGGGCAGCCGGGAGGGCTGCGGGCGGGGGCTGGTCCCGGGGGGCGGCACACGAGGGTTTCGAGAGGCGCTTTATGTGCCGCGTGGGGACGCGTGGGGCGGGGATCCCCGTGTCCCACGGGCCGGGGCCGCTCCGTCCTCCCCATCTCCCCCGGTGGGAGGCTGGGGCGGACACGCAGCGCCCGCCGGGGCGGCGGCGGGGCCGGTCCCTGACCCCAGTTAATGATTCGCCGCCGGGAGCTGCCCGCTGCCAGCGGTGCCGCTGGGCAAACTGCAGCCCGGGGCTCCGGGGTGGGGGGACGGCGCCGAGGAGCGCGGAGCCCCGTTCGGGGAGGGCACAGGGAGCACTCCCCGTGTGCGGGAGCCACGCGTGAAGAGGTGTCCGCACCGCACGGGGGGAGCACGGGGGCACGGCCGCCCCATTTGGGGTCGCCGCCCCGGGGCGGGGCGGTGCCGCCGGGCCCCGTTAAAGCGGCGGCGGCCGGAGGCGGTGGCCGGAGGCGGTGGCGATGGGCAGCGAGGGCCAGCGGGGCCCAGCGGCGGCCCGGGGCCCGGGGCAGGGCGACCCCCGGGCCCTGCGGAGGGACTGCCAGCACCGGTGGGCTGCGGACTGCGGGGGGATTGACGAGTGATGGGGGCAGCAGGACTTGGGGATGCGGGGCCGGGGCTTGGGGAAGGACAGGTAGGGAGGGGAGCAGGACCCGAAGGAAGGGCCTCGCGGTGCAGGTACGGGAGGGGGCAGAGGCCCTGGATGTCATGTCGACATGCCGGGGTGGGGGCAGGTCCAAACAGGGGCTTACTATCCCCCCTTCCAACTCCAGCTCCATTTCCAGCTCCACAGCCCATTTCTCTGCTCCAGTAACTTGCTGTGGAGGCCCTGGGCTGTGATGAGCACACAACCCTTCCAGAGCACTGACCACGGACTGGGCTTAGGAAACACGATTCCATCTCTTCCCCTGTGCCACCCCCAGCCCTAAACCTCTCCTCACCCCATAATTCCCCCCGTGGTCACCCCCAGGATCTTCGTCAACCGGAGCCTGGCGCTGGAGAAGATCAAGTGCTTCGGCTTTGACATGGACTACACCTTGGCCAGTGCGTTTTGGGGGCCCCTAAAGCCAGGTGGGGTAGTGGTGGGATTCCCCCAGCCCCTGCCCACATACCCTTTTCCCCCCTGCAGTGTACAAGTCCCCTGACTACGAGGAGCTGGCCTTCACTCTGTTGCTGGAGCACCTTGTTGCCATTGGGTACCCTCCTGAGATCCTTGCCTACAAATATGACCCTACCTTCCCCACCCGGTCAGTTTGTGGAGGGGGTCCCAGAGACCAGAGACAGGAGGGGAGGGGAAGTGAGCCCCCCACCCACTGACAGCTGTGTGATGCAGGGGTCTGGTGTTTGATGCCCTGTATGGGAACCTGCTGAAGGTGGATTCCCACGGGAACCTGCTGGTCTGTGCCCATGGCTTCCGTTTCCTCAAGGGGTGAGTCTGGGAATTCACCACCCCTGGGGCAGGGGGAAGCTGGGGGTCCCTCAGGGTGGAGTGCAGCTCCGTGCTCTCTCCCTAGAGCCGAAATCCTCCACTATTACCCCAACAAGTTCATCCAGCGGGATGACATGAAACGCTTCCACATCCTCAACACCCTCTTCAACCTCACAGGTGAGTGAGAACCCCCATTGCCCTGGCCCTCCCACCACCCTAGGGTGCTGTCCTGCCCTGCACCCCCTCTCACAACCCCCTCCCTCACAGAGGCCCACCTCTATGCCTGTCTCGTGGACTTTTTCACCAACTGCTCCAGATATGTCAAGTAAGAGGGAGGTGGTGGGTGGGGGCTTGGTATTGGATTGGACAGGTGTAAATCTTGGGTGGAGCTTCCCTTAGCAGGGCAGCCCTTTCACCCCCTCCACTCCTGACTGTTGCAGCTGTGACACCGGCTACAAGCATGGGAACCTCTTCATGTCCTTCCGCAGCATGTACCAGGATGTGCGCGAGGCCATGGACCATGTCCACCTCTCTGTGGGTGCAATGGACAAGGGGCTGGTGGTGCTGGGTGCTGAGAGTGACAGGGTTTTCTCACACGCACACCCTGGGAGATTTTGGCCAGCCCCACCCCATTCTTTCTGCAGGGCTGCCTCAAGGAGAAGACGCTAGAGAACCTGGAGAAATATGTGGTGAAGGATGTGAGTTGTACAGACCCCTAGGGACCCCTCCCTACTCTGCTCCCCTCAGTCAATTCCTTGTGGCCCCACCTGCGCTCCTCACCACTGACTTGCCCCTCACTAGCCCCGTGTGCCGCTGCTGCTGAGCCGCATGAAGGAGGTGGGGAAGGTCTTCCTGGCCACCAACAGTGACTACACCTACACTGATGTGAGTAGGGGGTGTCCATGTCCCCCACCACCAGGTGCAGCCTGCCCTGCATGGGGGAGGCAGAGGGGCTGTGTTGAAGCACAGGCAGGGTCTGTGTGGGAACCCAGGACCTCACTCTGGCTGCCGTGGCTGTCTTGAGACCCTGGCAGAGGGCTCGGAGACCTTGGTATGAAGTCAAACACACCTGTGCCTTAGATTTTAGCCTGTGGAAAAAAAACTGCCAACTTTGTATGAGGAATTACAAGCCACAAGGGTTTGAGTAGTGTGGTAGTTGGATTAACATAGGGTGAAAAGGTAGAATTTTAGTGTTTTAGAAGAAGGGGTTCAAGGGGACAAGATGGAGGGATTTGGGTGTGTCCTGACCATCTCCTTCTCCTTGCCCTCCATGTCTTGCTGTGATGGTGACACTTTTCTATTGGTTTAAGGTAGAGACACTGTCCAACGTAAATGACAGATATTGGCACATTATTGTAAACATAGTACACGTAATTTTTGGTATAAAGTGGTAACACCAGCCCAAGGGCGTGGGAGTCTGCCACAGACTGACCTGCTAGACAGACCGCAGCTCCTTGAGAAAGCGTGTTAGAGATAAGAAAAATAAACAACCTTGAGAAGCCGACCCTACTTTGGGCATTCCGACTTCTTCTTTGGCTGCGTGGGCTGGGAAGCAAGGACTTTTGCATTCTCGGAGTCACCTTGACCTCCAGACCCCGAGAGGTCTGCCTTGCCTGGGGGCAGCAGTGATGATGCCAGATGTCCTTGCAGGCCATCATGTCCTATCTGTTCGACTTCAGCAATGAGGACAAGGTAAGTCTGTCCCCAGTGTGGGCTGGGTGGGGGGCACAGGGTGTGATCAGCATCCTCTTGTTGACTCCTGCCCTGGCATCCACAGGCTGATGTCCCACGGCGCCCCTGGAGGTCCTACTTTGACCTGATCGTGGTGGACACCCGCAAGCCCCTCTTCTTTGCTGAGGGCACCGTCCTGCGCCAAGTTGACACGGTGGGGACCTCTTCCCTGCTGCAGGGCTAGCTGGGGTGGTGGGCACTGCTTAGGCACTGAGGGGGGTCCTGTGGGCACAGCAAGGTAGATTCACAGCTGATTGGACACCAAGGAGGCACAGGTGACAGTGTCTCTGTTCTGCAGGACACAGGGAAGCTGCGCATGGGGACATACACTGGCCCTCTCCAGCACTGTGCTGTCTACTCCGGTGGTAAGCAGCCAGCTGGGCTCTGTCTGGGCTCTGTGGGCAGCAGAGGGGGACATGCCCACCCCCACAACTGTGACCCCTGGCTGTCACAGGCTCCTCAGATGTGGTGTGTGACCTCCTGGGTGTGAAGGGCAAAGACATCCTCTACATGGGGGACCACATCTTTGGTGACATTCTCAAATCCAAGAAGCGGCAGGGCTGGCGCACCTTTCTGGTGGTGCCCGAGCTGGCCCGTGAGCTGCAGGTCTGGACAGAGAAGAGTGGTGAGCAGTGCCAGGTTGGGGACACAGGCTTTACCATTCAAGGGGAGGAGGTGGCCTGGAGCCTCCTACACCCTTTGATGGCCAAACTGCCTGAGTGGGCCATGCCCTGACCCTCTTTGTTCATTATGCTGGGCAGTGGGTGATGCTCCTGCACTGAACTGGCCCTGTTGCCCTTGCAGAGCTGTTTGAGGAGCTGCGGAGCCTGGATCTCTTCCTGGCCGAGCTGTACCAGTGAGTCGGTTGGGGTGGGAAACAGGCAGGGATAGGAGCACCTGTAGGGAACCCTCCAGGTGAGCCCTTAAGCCGGGTCTGCTCCGTTCCAGGCACTTGGACAGTGGCAGTAGTGAGCGCCCAGACATCAGCTCCATCAAGCGTCGGATCCAGGTGACACCCAGGGCACTGTGCCTGCTGGCACACAGCTCAGCTCAACCCCCTGCCACAACTTCCTCTGGGGGGGGGCCCGCAGGGGCCATCGGGTGCCCTGACTGTCCTGCTGCACCCACAGAAAGTTACACATGAGATGGACATGTGCTATGGGAAGATGGGCAGCCTGTTCCGCTGTGGCTCACGTCAGACGCTCTTTGCCAACCAGCTGATGCGCTATGCAGACCTCTATGCTGCCTCCTTCATCAACTTTCTCTATTACCCCTTCAGCTACCTCTTCCGGGCACCCCCTGTCCTGGTACGCAGCCCCCAGGCCCTGCTCATCACCCACTGTGTCTCAGTTTCCCTCCCTGCCTGAGGGGGCATGGGACTGATAGAGGTGTTGGGTGGACACCCAAGCCATTGGCTGGCTGGTGCCAGCCTCTCTCTGGGAGCCTTATCCACCCCCCTGCAGATGGCCCATGAGTCAACGGTGGAGCACTCTCACCGGGACTCAGGGGATGCAGTCACTGCCCTTCCTCCCTGGCTGGCCCAGCATGGTGGCCCTGGCCAGCAGGTGGGTGACAGGAACAGAGGGGCAGAAGGACATGAGCATCCTGCTACAATGATGCCCTTGGGGTCCTGTGCCCACTGAGCCCCTTCTGCACTGCCTCAGGTCCCCCAGGACTCAAGTGGGGAGGAGGAAGATGATGGAGAAGCCTGAGCACAACACAATTGCTGTCATGCTGCCCATGGGAGGACATTGAGTGGCCCTGGACCACTTGCACTCATGGCCAGCTACCACCTCTGGTGGCCACAGCACGGCTGGTAGCCCTTGTCACACCTGTCCCTGGGCAGTTGGGACCTTCTCCTGACTGCCCAGAGTCAGGAGAGGGTCCCCAGGTTTGCTAGCTCTTGCCCCTTGAATTCTTATCTACCTGGTGCTCCTTTATCTCATTCCTCTTCCACCAGCTCAATGCCAGCCTGAGGGCATCCAACACCAGGGTGAACAGGCGGTGCCACTACTGCAGTATCACTGGAAGCCCCACTGCAGCAGCCGGGGTCCCAGCAGCTCCTGCCCCTTTAGCCTCTGGGCCTGGCCACAAGCACTGCATTGCTGGGTGGAGCGGGGGGCTCTGGAGGTGACACCTGCCCCTGCATCTGCTGTTCTTCTTTTCTTTCTACCCTTTTCTATTTATAAAAGATACTCAAAACTCCTGGCACCGCAGAGATATAAAATTGGTTCTAAAGGAAAACTGCTTTGTCCCTGCACCTGAGAGGTGGGGGCAAAGGGCAGTCCCCAAGTCCTTGCCCAGCAGCTGGGACAAGCACAAGCTCCTAGGGAGAAGGTGGCAGCCCCGAGCTATCCCCATCTCTGCAGAGGGGGCCAGGCCAGCATCACTCCACAGAGTGGAGCCAGCCCCATGCCAGAACTCTGGGACACTGCTCTGAGACTTCTGCCAGCATCCATAGAGATGCTGAACCAAGGCTGGGGTGAGGGAGAGGAGGAAAGGGCATGATGAGGCCAGGACCACTGCTTGCTGGGGCTGGGTCGATGACAGTAGGGCTCCCCCACCTTCCACAACTGCCCTATGGTCACTATTCACAGCAGAGAGTACCTCCAAGCTCTTGCCTGGTACCTTGTGCTGCTGCCTGCTCCAAGTGCAGGGACAGCAGCAGAGGCGGCCTGCGTGCATTTACAGGGCTCATCTGTCCCCAGGAGCTGGGGACCTGGCCTGCTGTACCCCAAGGTCCTCTGCAACCCTTGGTTCTGCTGTCAGCCTGGAAGCCTGCACAGAAGCTGCTGGGACACTACAGGTCCCCCAGCTGCTCAGGTACAGCCGTTGCTACCACCTGTGCCTACAGACACTGGGTCTGCCTCTCAGTAGGGGACATACAGATGTTGTCCAGGTGGGGCACAAGACTGTTCCAGTGCAAATTGCTCAGGACATTGCTTCCAGACACTGGGAGGTGCCTGGACCATTGTAATCCAACTGACGCCATTCTACAGCAGGAAAACCAGAAGTGTGTGTCATGGCAGAGGAGCTGAGGGCAGTCCTGGGGGACACAATCCCACGAGACACAGCTGGTGTCTCCACACCACTCACCAGCCCACACACATGTCCACTGCAAAGTTTAATGTTTATAGATGTTTAAAACTGCAATTAGATATTTAAAACATGCTTATTCTCTGCCATCCCCTCCCCTCTACATATGTGGGACAGCAAGAGCAGTCTAGGGAGCGCGTATGAGGCAGCACAGTGGGCAGGCAGCCTTATACCTGCTGGGAACCTCTCAGGAGCTCTTGGGGGAATATGAACTCAAACCCTCCAGCTCTGTCACTTCTGGCAAAGCCTTGTTTTTACGGAAGAAGAAGCAAGTCTCCTCCTCAGCATCCAGAATTTCACTAAGGGATGACACCACAGGGTCATGGTCTTTCAGCATCTCTGGGTAGTGACTCCCAACCCTCTCAATCCGTTGTGAGCGCCGCACGGGTGTTACAAATTTCAATTCTGAGCCTTCCAGGAACTTCCTTCCTCTGTGCAGAGAAGAAGAGCCTTGGGTAAACTCTGCAGAGGACCACTGGCATAGAGGATATGTGCTACCTGGAGCAGGAGGTTCAGCCTTACCTGCATGCAGATGTAACTTGTAACTTCACTGAGGAGGGAAGGGAGGTCATGGGTCTCCCCACCAGGCCTGGAGTTGACACTGTGGACTGCCTCTCACCTGGACAAGGCGTGGTAGCCTCCTGAAGAATGAGTTCCTCTGCCTTTTCTCCTGGCAGGAAAGGAAAAGGGCAACACAGTTGCAGCAGCCACAGGCAAGGGATTACACCTCGGCACTCTGGACAGGGGCAGAGTGCCCACCTGCAGAGGCTTGCCAGGCCAGGACCCTCCCTAGGCTAGACAGAGTAAGTGTCCCGTTTTTCAGATCAGGCCTCCAGGCCTTAACAACACTCATCAGGAGGGACACGAAGTGCTGGGACAGACTGTAAACCGTGTTGCCTCCAGGCTGGCAACACCAGGGAACCCCCACCGGCCAGTGCTCCAGTCAGCCCCACAACACTCGGATTACCTTCCAGTTTTTGGCCTCCATTCTTCAAAATATTTATAGCAGCTCTCCTGACCTCTTCAATTGGCTGCAGGAAAAGCAGAACATGGGTCAGGGCAGGTCTAGCATGGGAATGGAAAGCAGAGTTACAGCTGAACAGGAGGAAAGGCTTTTGCTGCACTGCAACAGCCTATGCTGAGGACAGCAGGAAGAGGCTGCAGTATGCCCCTTTGCCCAGCGGGATCCATCAGTACACAGCACAGATGGCTGCGTGCCCACCCTGCATGGGTACATCCTGCAGCATGGAATGGGACTGGCAGCTCTAAAGGACTTCTTCACCAGAGGCTAATGTTGCTAAGCTCATTCCAAAACCTGGCGCCTGGATCTCGAGGAAGCCCTCCAGAACGGAGACAGGGAACATAGGGAGGTGCCATGTCCCACTCACCTCAGCCCCAGCACAGACTGCTTCTACGTACAGCTGCATCACATCAAAGGGGCCACTCCGGGCCAGCAGCTTTGCTTGGCAGATCCAAAATTTGGCAAATTTCTCTGCCTGGGGCACAAGGGACAGCATTTCCCAGATCTCCTCTGCATGGGCACCCTGCAAGGAGAAGGGTAAGGGGCTGAAGAAAGGTGTCCATGGCACAGACAAGCATGTGCACCAGGAAGCAGTCTGTGCCTGACCACAGCTCCCAGCACTCACCAGGAGGAGGGCCTCAAAAGTCTAGCTTTGCAAATCTCCTACATTACCATGGCAGGTAAAAACTGTCATGCCTCTACCTTCCCCCTGGATAATTGTGTCTAGGATTCCAGGAAGGTGTCGAAGGATAGACTCCAGTGCTGGCATTAATTAGGGACAGTAAACCCTGGAGCAGGGCTAGTGGTCAGTGTTCTCAGCAAGTTACCCACCAGGGATCTACCTCAAGCTGGCTCAATCAGCCTGGGCTACTGCTGCCAGACTGCACTGCCAGGTTCCAGGACGCTGTCAGTGGCACACACAAGGTCCATGCTGGCTTTGGCTGAGTAGAATTAATTTTCTTCCCAGTGGTTGGTATGGGGTTGTGCTTGGGATTTGTGATAAACACAGTGATGATAAGATATATTTTCATTATTACTGAGCAGGATTTGGACAGGACCAAGACCTTTTCTACTTTATATGCTGCCACACAAGGAGCCTGGGGATGTGTGGGAAGCTGAGAGGAGACACCAACAGAGGTGGTAGAGGTGGCTCCAACAGACCAAAGAGACATTCCAGACCTTATACTCAGTATATAAAGTAGGGGGACATTTGGAATGATGCAGTTTGTCTTCCCAACTCGCCACTGCATGTGATGGGGCCCTGCTCTCCTGGAGTTGGTAGGACACCTAACTGGGCATGGGAGGGAGTTGATATTTTGCTTTGCTTGTGTGTGCAGCTTTTGCTTTCCCAATGAAACTGTCTTTTCCTCAACCCATCAATTATTTGCCTTTTACCCTTATGATTCTCTCCCCAGTCCTACTGGTGGAGGACTGCCTGAGCAGCTGCACAGGGTTTGGCTGCTGGCTGGGGTTAAACCTGTTGTTTTTGACAGGGTATCTCTCCATTCTCCCAGTCAGCACAACTCACTGCATGCCTTTGGCCTACCCATAACTTTATGAGGATTTTTATTTTCCTATGTTTCCCCTCTGGCAACTGAACACTTGTTCCCAATCCCTCTTAGCTACTGGAGGGACATGGCCCTCATCCCATGGCATGCTTCAGGACAGGAAAAGCTCATTCAAGCAGCTCCTTTCCTATTCCCACCTCCTCAATGAGCTTCTGGCATTCAGTTAATATATTGTTGATCTTTTCTTGGCAGCGCTTCTCTGGATTTTCTTGTTTCTCCTTTGCTTTGACCTTTATGCAGGATGGCTTCACTGCCTGCTTCTGAAGCAGCACCATCGGTGGCCGCTTGTAGGTCTTGCCTTTGGATGCCACCCATTCCTCCAGCTCTTTCCTGTCCAAGGATGGAGAGATCACAGTTACCACCCCAGCAGACAGTAGCTTGGCAAGAGCTGGCTGTTTTTCCTTGCAGTCTTCCTTTAGCCAACTTCAGGTACTTAAAAAATCAGTATTGCTATCTCAGAAACACACCTGAGCTCTAGACAGGGAAAGGAAAACACTCTCAAGCAGAAGCCCTGAGACCAAAGCAGGAGAGTGGCCACACACTCTCCTTCCACTTACTGAATTGGTGGGAGAGGAACCCAGAGTGCCAACCAACACTATCCCCAACCCCATCTTTTTCAGAGCACCAACCTCCCAACAAGCTTGGGCTGATAAAAGACTTTGGATTCAATTTTCAGCAGGATAGTGCTGACTCAGCCAGTTAAACCCTTTAAACTCTGCTGGTTTCATGGAGGGAGGACCCAGGCGGCCAGAGCTGCCACTTACTTACGATCTGGAGCTGATGGGATCCTTGGAACGCGCCTAGCCTGCATGCCACTTGCCTTGGACAGCTCTGGTTTAAGCTGTTCTCTCCTACTTCTCAAATCATCCTCAGAGATGTGAGTTTTGGAGTTGTGTATGCTGGGAGACTGGTTTGGGTGACTTGTTCCTTGGGATGCTGCCATGTGTCGAGGAGGCATCACCTTCATGTCCTTCCTGCCCATCACTTCTTTAAGCATGGGCCTTGGCCATGGCAAAGTGACACCTGGGTTCAGGTTGGATTTCAGGATTGTGCTCCCCTGGGGCTTGCCCAAGGTGGGAGGCTTGGCAGGAAATCTCACTGGGTGAGGCTGGCTGTGCTGCTTAAGACTTCCCCTTGGAGCTGTGACAGGTTGCCTCACAGCAGTCCTTTCTCCCTGCTTTGTCCCTGGGCTTTTATGTATCAAATTAGCAGAAGTAGGAAGGAACTGAGAGGGCTGCAGTGGCTGAGTTCTGATAGTTGTATTTTGAGACATGCTCTTTGATTCTGGCAGGGCTTTCCTAAATTTATCCAGAATTGGGTTTTCCTTAGGCTGGTGGTTACTCGTTCTGCCTTTTGGACCCAGAATGGGCCTTGACATTACAGCTGGGCATTGCCTGTGGACCAAGACTCTCTCCTTCTTAAGACTGTTTTCACTAGGTTGGAAAGTGTTGATCAGCTCTGAGGATGTGGAGGCTTGTGGGCTGAGGTTTTCCTTGTTGCAGACAAGCCTGTCCTGCAGCCCCACATTCAGGGTGTGAGGTGCTCCTGGAAGAGGGTGGTCACTTCCCACCTGAGGTTCTGCTGCAGTGACAGACTCCTGTGCAAACTTCTGGCTCCTGCCTGGATTTAGTTGACCAGAGCTTGAAGATGGGAGCATGTCTCTAGTCTGTACAGATGCAGGAAACATCGCATTGTTCCCTGGCTGCACTGGACACACCCCTCCTGCTCTCTGAGATGTATTTGAAGGCTTCTTCAGAGCAGTGTGGCAAGTGTGCTGTGTGGATTTGGCTCCAAGCTTGCCAATCTCTTGAGCATCCTCCATCACAGTCCCAAGAATATCTTTCTTGTTCCTGTTAACCTGGAAAGACAAAGCAGGCGTCAGGTCCAAGGAGAACATAGCTTGGTCAGACCCTGACAGCTTGCCCAGGGGACAGTCATGTGACAAAGCAGCTGTCAACAGGACAATAACACAACACCCACCAAAACATGGGCAAAGGAGCAGTCTCCCAAACTGAAACTCCTAACTAAGCCCAACTTTGAAAAACAGCTAGTTGACTGTCATTGTTTGATGCTGGTGCAATGCTAGTGCTCCCATGAAAATGCACTTTATTTAAATCAGTGCTGTGAGATGTGATCAGGAACAGAGCAGAGCAGGCTTGAGCTTAAAAACAAAGGAAAAAGCTTTATTACTCTACTACTATAATAAAAAAACCACAGAGAATCTAGAATGAAAACCTCCTCAAAACATTCCTCCTCTCCCCTATCTAATTTCTCCTAAAATACACTGAGAAATAACTCTGAATTCTTGATCAAGTCACCACCTTTCAGATAACTAATTTTTAGTTCATCAAGGGAGAAAGGAGTCTCTCCTGTACTAGAGACCCCTAGGAAACACAATTGCAACTACCTGGAGAAAATTTGCTATTGTGATACCTTCTTTTCTATGATACAGTGCTCTCACCACCATGCATGGACTGAAACTGCTCATAGGGTTCCTTTTAAGGATGCTTTGCTAAGGACTAAAAGAACAACAGTTTCTCATCTTGGGACAAACAGTCTCCTCCATTTTCTCCTCCCCTGGGGCTGAGGGTCTTGAGAACAGAGATCTTCTTCCTTGAAGACAGAGGGCACTACTACACCCTTCTCAATTTTTTTCTCTGCTTACTCTACTCCTACACTGTCTTGGCTCAAGTTATTGCATCCTCTTGAAAATGTAGTCTCTTGTGTTGCAGGAGAAATTGGTTCAACCTATGGCTATACAAGAAAAATCTAGCTAAGGCCATTCCATCATCTCCTCCTACTTAGGATTTCTTCTTTTAACATCTCAGGTCTTAGACTGTTTTTTTTTCTCTTTTAAATCTAGGAGGAGTAGTGTTTTGTAAAGCCTTTTTTTCTCAGGAAAGGCTTAAAAGTTTTGGGCTCTTAGGACAGCTGAGATCTCACAGAAGGCTGGGCACCTTCTTCTCCCCTACCTCTGTCTTCTCTTCGGTGTACTGCCAGCACATGATATCAAATTTCCAGGTGGAACAGGCTCTTTCTCACTCTCTCTCCCCACAACTCTGGGGGGCTGCTTGGGACATCTCAGTGTTTCTCCACCCTTCTGGCCTGTGGGGGGCTGGCCTGGTTCCATTCCCCTCACCCCCCTCTCTCTCTGGGGCTCCAGCCTCCCTCAGCCACAGGCCACCTGGCTTCCCTTCCCTGGGCAGGGGAGGTCTGAACTCTTCGCTAACCAGAACAGAAGAGAGAGTTCCCCTGGGAGTTCTCTGCTTTTAACCCCCTGTGCTCTCAGAGGCATGTCTAATGCCTTCAGTGGTCACTCTAAACGCCAGTATCCAAACCTGACTACTGATTGGTTTGACCAAAACTTACTGAGAAAATTCACTTCCTTGTCAAACCATGCATGACGCATTGCCAGCTATTTAGCAATCTGTGGTATGTTCCCCATTTGGAGTCAGGAACTCATAGAATCATAAGGTTGGAAGAGACCTTCAAGATCATTGAGTCCAACCCATTCCCTGACACCTCAACTAAACCGTGGCACCAGGAGCCACATCCAGTCCTTTTTTAAACACATCCAGGGATGGTGACTCCACCACCTCCCCGAGAAGACCATTCCAGAGCTTTATCACTCTTTCTGTGAAAAACTTTTTCCTAATATCTTATGTTTGTTGCCTTTGTCAACAGCAAAACAAAGGCATCAACATGAGTTCTTCACTGAATTCAAGGGGAATTTTTCACAGATATATACCTTATACAAACTCTCTAGGTCTATGTGTGTTTAAGTATGCTAGAGCAAATGTTCCATGAATGTAGCTTTCTTTGGTTCTTAAATACTTTAGATTTTTAAGTCAGGCCTGTAAGCAAGTTATTATTGTGCTACAGTAAATTCTATATGAATCTTTTGTTAAATTATTTAATTTAACCTATTCATTAAGTGCTGTTACATTTAAGTGCTATTAAAGCCTTCAGGCCTAAATTGTTGGTCAAGCCCAGTGCTCAGATTAACAAGCAGTCTGCTCTAAATCTTGTGACTCAATCAAACTTCCTTATTCCCTTATATAGTAACCCTTCCCTTTCCCTGCCCCACTCCCCCAGATTCCACACAGATAATTTTTGGGTTGGTTTTGGTTTCAGATGGATTGATTTTAGATTTTTGCTTCCTTTTTCTCTATGTACTTTAACCATCCAGTAAGTAGTAGAGTGAACCTTGAAAATGAACTTTGTCATGCTTTCACTTTAATATTAAACCTTCTTGTGCTGATACCTTTGCCAATGATTCTTTAAGCAGCCATAAAACACTAATTCGTGACAGGGCACACCATTCTGCCCAGACTCACTTAAAGCATGAAAGACTCAAAAGCTCTGTACTTACAGGCTTGAGTTGAGAAACTGGTTCTAAGGGTGGATTCAGGTGATTAGTCCAGTCCTTTAAAAAGGGTCTGTAAAAGTCCAGTAAGTTATCAGGTTATTTAAAAAATTATTAGGTTATTTATCAGCCATAAGAAAAGGAGGAAGAGTTAAATATCTAACCCACTGCTGGTTGTCTCAGACACAGGATCTTAGGAGTAGCTTTCAGAAATCAAAAACCTGTCAAGGAATACTACCACATACTACTAATTATTTTTCTTTTGTGTGGCAACAGAAAAGCAACACAAGCCATTAACATGCAAGGTTGTCACAAAACTTCCATGGACAACAAAACTAACCAAAATGATTCCTGCAGGCAGTGGTCTGGCAGGTAGTGGGTTTGGAGGCTCCCAAACTGCCCCATGTGTCACAGATAGCTGAGGTCATGCCATGCTCCAGATCATAGTGGTACCTCAGAGAATCCTGGCCAGTGTTCACTGCAGTGGGGTGATCCACAAGCCCTGCAGCTGTCCAGGCACTGGCAGCTAAGCAGGAAGGTGGGACAGCAGGCCACTGTCAGGTCCCACAGTTCTGTCATCCCCTCCTCCTCCTCTGCACAGAACTGGAGCCCTCTGTTAGCAGCCAGCTG